GCCCGCGCCCCCGCCCGCCTCCTGCACCGCACAATCAACACTATAGTATGTCTAAATAATTTAGATTGGTTTGACTATTCACTTCAAATTTTGTAGGGATGGGATGTGTAACATCAGTCATGAATCTGATCGATTCTCGATTTTTATTCTTATAGAAGTTGGAATCGATAGATTTATAGTTATAACTTATGAATTAAAAAAAACACTGTTTTCTCAAATTAATAATGACCATAACAAATAATGAGAGTAAACAAATGTTTATTACTACTACAGCCGTACGTAATCGAATTGGATTTCGCTATTATTTCTGTCATCGCTAAATTCTCTACATTATAATCAATACTAGCTACCTATAAATTACTGAATAAGAAAATAATAATGTTAGTCGAGTTCGATAATTATTTAAACCGAATATCGATAGTTCAAAATTGTTCGCTGCGTGTTTGTTTCTATACGACGATACCTGTCTATTAAGTATGGCATTTGCTTTCATACAAATTGAATTCGATACTTCATATGCGTCATTTATCAAACTAATCAAAATTATTTAGACAAACTATAACAACCTTGCAAGTTAATTGTATTTTATTGTTTTTAAACTAGGCTCAGATAAAATGATATAAACTGTGATAGAAATAAGATTTTAATGTAAATTTATGTTTTAATTTAAAAATAGAGAAATAATGATACACCTGCTCCCCAGGTCATACTACATATTACTTAGTAGCGTAGGATGTCAGCACAGTATATTTTTAAATATTTCTTTCTTTAATAAAAACCCCTACACTTATGACACGCTTTAGGCTATATATTTTCACAGCTTTATACTTAGGGGGTAAATAAATTGTAAAAAATTATTATGTGCTGCCAACATCAAGAAAGCAAGGTTACCATGGCAACGGGTATTGTTATCCAACATCAAAGGCCTTCGGTATTATTGGTGATTTTGTATTTTGACATTTGCAATTGAAAATTCGAAAAATATGAACAGCAAAGTTTTTATAATTATTGAGCATACTGACAAGTAATCTTTCTAAATTAATAAAATATAAAAAACCAGCTGTTGCTTGCAACTTCACCTGCGTTAAATAAAGTAACAGCCTATGTTACGCACAGATAAATTCTCTTTCTAACTGTAAAGTTTTTTTTAAATCAGCCCAGTAGTTTTCGAGTTATTTCGATACATACAAAAATACAAATCTTTCCTCTTTACATTAGTATTGATAAATTAAAAACGACCGATTTACAAATGACATGCATACCTTACGTCTAACAGGTTTCGTTGGACTGACATCTTGTAACATTTGCAAGGACCCCGTAGTCACCGCTGGTTCAGTTATCGAAGCTGCTTTCGGTCTGAAAATTAACATTAGTATAGCCACATTTTTCAATAAAAATAGAAAAAGGAACAGGCATAGTATTATAATAATTTCAACGACACAGATTAAAGGTAAAAAAAATAACGATAAAAAATGACAGATGTCAAAGTGACGTCTGTCATATTGAAGTATTTTAATCTGTGGCATTAAAACAGACAATACAAAGCGGATAGCCAGACGAAGCTGAATGTAAACGAAAGTGCATCGTGATATAACATATAGAATAAAAATAAATAAAAAAAATGTGGATGAGGTGGTGTTGAAGAGTTAGAACAAGCTGAGGAAAACTGTCAAAAAGGCTTCACAGACAACGAAACAAGTAAAAACAAAAATTATTCTTTGAAATAAATGTGAAACCTCTTTTAAGTTAAATATATAAAAAATTACAATATTACAATTACCTTAAGATTTTCTTTTATTTAAAGTATAACCTTTTTCTATGTTTATTTTATCTGTAACTATGTGGGGATATATTTTTAAACAGAAAATAATTTAAAGAAATATTTATTAATAATAAATACAACTGGAATTGAAAAAATGCTTTTTAATACAATTATTAATTGCTTTTAAATTTCAAAGATTAATAAGCAGAAAACTACAATTTAAGGCTGAATTTTAACAATATTTTTTAAGAAGCAAAGAGTAATATTTTTAATTGTAATACTTAAATGTTGATATAACATTTTACTCCGTAACACACCCATCCAGTTATAATTAACTTGTGAAATTAACTGAAAACAAAAACAATGAAACAAATTTAAATGGTCCGTAAAATTTATACGTCAAAAATGCTGTTGTTCAAAATGGCTGGCAAAATATTACTAAACAATGATAAATACGAAAGCGCAAACGAAATAGAAGTCTATTTTTAATGTTTAACTAAAATAAACTTAAATTCTACATTAGCTATATCGTAAAGTAATGTTTAAAAACCTAATAATTTAACAGCTTATACGATGAATGAAAAACAATTAAAAAAAAGGAAAATAAAAACACTGGCCGCTTATACCCTTTCATATAAAAAAACTGTTATGACGTCATAGAATTAAAATCTTACATAACCGTGAAATTCCATTGCCGTAACACTTAATAAAAATTCATATAAGTTACAAAATCGAAAAAAAAAAAACATAAAAAAAACTAAGCTGCAAATCCGCCGCCAAAAAAATCGCAAACAATCAATAATGAACCTTACGGGTACACATTTACAGTGTGATTTAGTACAACTGACCTGAAGGGCGGTATTTCAGGTATCTTGCCTATGAAGAGCTTCTTGTTCTTGTCGGGGCGCGGCGTGGTGGGCGTGGCCGAGCTCGTCCGCACCTCCTCCTGGCTCGGGCACTCCGACTGACATAATAATAAAGCCATTTATTTCCTTACAGATAAACACTAAAGTATTGAAACAATATACTTATAACTATATACTGTTTACAATTGTCAATATATAGACAAGTTTTAATGTAAATTTCTTCTAAAAGTATTTTTGTTTCTATTTATTATCCTTCATTTAACTTGTTCTTTTTTGTTTTTTTATATACTTTATCTTTTTAACTGTTTTTTTATTATTTATCTCTATCTTATTTTATACGAATTTCTCTTTACCTACATACTAGCTGTTGTCTGCGACTTCCCGCGCAGTAATAAAAAACAAACGAATCATTACCCATGTGTTGCTCTAGGCTTTGTTTTATAACAATGTCGAACATCAATAACACATGTTTAATTCCAAAATTATCGAGTAATCATGAAAAAGAGTCTATTCTGATCAATGTATCCTACAAGAAACATAACTATTTCTGGAATCAAAAGTAGCAGATGTGTTCTTCCACACTGTTCTACATTTATGAGAAATTTCATCGACATCTGAATAGCCATTTACGCTACAAACCCTAACAAACATCCATCTATACTTTCGGATTTATAATATTAGTATAAAAATATAGTTATATTTATCTATGTTGAAAGTAGATAAATAATATGGATATTGACCAAAAGTGGTGCGTGTGCGTTTTTAATGGCCTCTCGTCTCTGGAACTCGACCTTGGCCATCTCGGTGGCCAGCCAGCCCGGGATCTCGGGGATGGCGATACGCAGCGCGAACACTATGACCAGCACCACGTGCTGAAACATGTATTAAAATAAAATTTACAAAATAAAAAAAACTATCTTTTAAATCATTTCAATATTCGAGGAATTGGACAATTTATTGTTAAAATTGCATTATTTAATGTCTATTTATTGGAAGGCGTGACCATGCCCAATAGAATAGGTCGAACTATACTTAAAAAATCTCAGGTCTGGTATCAACATTTGACACTTTGTACTGTATTTTCATCGACACAATAATTATAAAAAAGGAACAACTCTCTTAATCTTCTTTTACTTCCTTTCTCTTTGTTTTATGGATTTTCAAAAATATTTGTAGTCCAAGGTCAGTCAAAGTCATTCAGTGCTTCGCGATATCCTTCTCATCTGTACTTCTATATCTTTTGGTATCAAGGAGGGGAAAATCTTCAAAGAGACCCGACTTAGTATAAAGAACCTTCTAGAATACAGGATTATGTGAATATGTGCAATAGAAAAGTAAACCGGGATGTTCTAGTACGATGTCTAGTGTGAGTTGTGATGGCAAAGTGCACCTTACCTCCAAGGCAACAATGACGAGTATCGTCTGCGCGGGCGTGGCGTCGGGCAGCAGGCGGTGCACGGGCCCCGACAGCCCGATGAGCGCGCAGTTCACCAGCACCGCCACCGCCACCAGCGCCTCCATCGCGTGCTGCAAACATATA